GTGTTTATTTATTTCTTTTTGTCTACATTTATATATATACATATATATATATATATATATATAAGCATACTAAATGGTTACACGACTAGATTGCATTGTTAATACTCATACTAATTATAAGTATTCTTTAAAGTGTCTCTCCACTTATCGACTAGCTAGTCTGATCTCTGTCACAGTGCGGGCAATCGGAGTGTAGGACACTTATATAATTTATAACGCATTATTTATTAATATTATTTTGTAATATACATTAGACATTCTAAGGTACTTAATTTGATTGAATTGTATCTATTACTTATTGAAGGGCCACAACCTGGCTGGACAGGGTAATAGTACAATAATATCATAATTAGAATTTTAGTTAATCATAAGATTTCTTCAAAGTGTCTCTCCATTTATCGACCAGCCAGTCTGATCTCTGCCACAGTGCGGGCAATCGGAGTGTAGGACACTAACATAACTTATCGTGCATAAATCTATAGTACAGTCGCATCTAACCTAGGTCGTCCTACAGGTGATTGAAAAGAAGTAGGCCACATATCATAAGGTTCTTTGCATAAAGACAAAGATATTATTTGAGATCTCGCGTTGGTATATCCAGCTACGAAATACAAATAAATCAGAGTCGAAATATTATACTAAAAACTAATATTTTACTAATATATATTTATAACTAACATCATACTAAACAACTAAAAGTGTCTCTCCACTTATCGACCAGCTAGTCTGATCTATGCCACAGTGCCGGTGATCGGAGTGTAGGACACTAGTATANACACTAGTATAATCTATTGTGCGAAGAACCGAAATTGAGCTCACATCTACCCTAGATCACTCTTTGGACGACTGAAAAGAAGTAGGCCACTTGGAAATAGTTTGTTGCACAGGACAGTTATGTTGTTTAGAAGTTCTTTATTTGCTTTATAAATTATTAAATAATAAATATATTAAGGTAAAACACCATATACAAGGTTAAGGACTATACTACATAAATATACAAAAGGTTTTTACAAAAAACAGAGTTATAATAAACTTAGATTTCACCTTGGGTAGATTTGATATAGAATTGTACTAGAAAAGTAGTTACACGCGATTTAATAATAATATAAACCGTATAAATATAATTGCGTACATTAATGCGTATACGTATATACATCGATAATTGTTACATCAACAACATCCGTCATCTCAAGAGAATATCTGCCTTATCAGGATAATTAGAGGTAAGTGAAACATTTGTTTATATAATAAGTCTATAATAAATCCTTTACTGAAGAATTTTTAGTAATAAACAATTAGAACAAGATAGGTCATTAAGAATAAACTAAAATATTTTTATAAAGAAATACGATACTTGTGACTCGCCGGAAATTAGTGTACATGTTTCTGTGCAGGAGCAGGTAGTGACCCTTCTTTGTAATTCCATCTTATTCATACATTAGACATCTTTACGCAAGCATACATACACCCCGAGATCCCTTTCTATTTCATTTTATTATAGTCACTGCCCGGTATCCATAGCCACTTTTACTTTCCATTGCTGCCCATCCTTTTTACACTACGCCCGCTACGATTATTATTTCCTCATTGGCCACCTGTGTTACATTTCGTTACATTACTTTTCTTTCACATCGAACTCCACAATCCAACACGCCACATTACCTTTTTACTTTTTTTTGTTTATTACAGGTTTTGGAAGTGATTTGAGCGTTAATTTAGTGTGGATAGCGTCACCATCTACGCATTGGAAAACTTTTGTGGTTTTAGTTAAAAACATTTTTTTAAAAGAAGCATACATTTTAAATAAGATTAATTTTCTATACTTTGTCAATTAGATTTATATAATATTTATGAAAATCTGTTTAGTCCCCTTGTAAGGTATTTTAAAATAAAATAAAATACAAAACCCAGAATTTAAACACTTTATAGCATATTTTTGAATGCGGTGACTGTTTTCATCATAAAGACAAGTTCAGAGGTCAATTTTTTTTTTCAAAATAAATTATATTATATAAGCTTTATTTAAGGTATACATAAAAGTATATTTTCGACTAGATACAATTTATAATCTTTTGACGTATTGTTCATCATAATCGGTCTAGTGAGAGCTGTGATTGAGCGTTAACAGACACAAATAAAGAAAAAAAAACTCATAATAGTAAAATTAATACCTTTTCAGCTTCATATCGAAGCTAAAATATTATGAAGAATTGTTTAATATAATTATTATTTTAACAGAAATCGAGGGGCTAATAATAAACGAATCACTCAAACAACATACAATAACTTTTTATAATTTTCTAGTAAAATGTACAATACTAAATTTAATTACTATAATACTTACTATATAATATGACCATTTAAAATTTATGATTTAAAAATAAAATCCAAATTTAAGGGTTATTGTAAAAAATTTTGTACCACAAAAGATTACATTAAATTTTACTAAAACTTTTTAACAAACTTGGAATTTTTTTACATAGAACAGTAACATGTTACACTTTAGATTAAATCTATGAGATTAAATAACATTACAAATAATCTAGCTACAATAACAGAATTTTTTTCAAAAAATGAACTAAATTCATTTAAATTTCCTATTTTACTAATTAATATATGTTTGGCAATATAGATGATAAAAATACAAAACCAACCAATTGTAGACATTCAAGTTAAAATTGAAATAAAAATATACTCATTACTATTAGGATTTCATTTATTATATACATTTGAACTAATGATTTTACCTGATAAAACTTTTAAAATCACAATCACGATAAGCATCAACAGCGTTTTTAACTAATAAATATTCTTTTGTTTATTCAAACAAAAGAAATTTTCGTGTTTCACAAACATATCGAAAGTTACATGAAATAAATTTTTAATGTATAGTGAAATATAAAAAACTTTTTGAACGATCATGTAGGAAATTACAAATTTAGAATTAACACAAATTTTGGATGTATCAATTCAATAGAAGATTTGAAAATAAATACGAATTAGGTTATATACACTAACTCGTATTCGAAAAATTGATAAACTAGAATCGTAGAACTTTCATTTTATTTTCTATCAAAGTATTGTATATCAAAGTAACTTATAATTTAATAAGAAAATAAAAAACTGTTTTATATTTTTCAAAATGTTATATTATTACAAGTAGCGCATTTTAAACGCTACCATTATCTACCTGTGTTTATAGTCCCACTTATTTTAAATATGTTTATTATCTCAAGAAATCGAAATTTTAAAGTGATGTAAAACGAATAAATTTAAATAAAAAATTCAAACTATTAATTAAAAATATATTTTTCTACCCTTATAAGGCATATTGGATGGACCTAAAAATTATCTAACAATAATAAGTGTAAAATCATATGTAACAAAAACTCCAAAAAATTTTTTTTATTTTGAGAAATATTTACTGGCTAATTAAAAAAAAAAATACGCTGTATAAGTATTTTTGTACATCTGTCAATTTTTCTCGTACGTATAGTAAAGCCGTCATAACACGATGCTCTTTGACCTTCACGATATATTTTAACGTGTATGTTACTCTATCGTCCTTTGATTCTTACACACCTTATTCCATTATCTTTTTAGTTCTCACCGTCTTATCATTTTCTTCATCTATACATCGACTACATAATTGCTCTTCGCATTCAGCTTTGCCACTAAGCTTTGTTCGACCCTTCATCCAACGTTTTGTCCGTTCATATATCCTTAGCCTCGATCGGCTCAACTCCAATCTATTTACAGAGCCAATTCGATGAGTATTATTTAAAGTTTTCTTGTAGTTTGTCTAATTTAAATGATTAATTGTATTTTTTGCGCTATTGTGACATTTAGTAATAAGTGTACCCCCATCTACATTACATGTACTATAGCAACTGTAATGTTTAGAATAGTAATTTCTTGTATTTTTAAAAGGAAATGTGGGTATATTTCATTATTAAGTATCTTATACAGTCTATTCTCCTTACCCTATTCATTCGCACAAATCTTTTTATCATCTCAGATTATATACATAATATAGTTTATGCAATAATAACTAACAATGTTTTTAAATTCAATTAATTTTTTAATGTTATATTAATATTAGTTTTTGTTATAATATTTTAATATAGATACTAGTTTAAGTAAGTAATAGTATCCGACACGTTTTGAAAAAAAAAATAGTGTAGCATATGTGAGATTTAGTACATTCATATATTATGGATTTTATTTTAATTTACAATAAAATGTAAATCCAACATCAGTTAAAATTAATAACAATTAATTATAACATATACCATTTGGTAGCTCTTTTCTTTCAAATGATATAATGTTGAAATGTTGAATAGAGTTCAGTTCAATTCAAATTAACTTAATAATCAATTTATTTGTTTTTTTTTATAGCTTCAATACGTGGTTGAGAAGTTATTGGTTTACTCTACAGTGTATATAATTTTTGTACGTAATCATAATATTTCTAAAACAGCCAATAACGATGTTATAGTATTTCGCTTTCTATTAAAATAACTTTATGAAAATTGGACGGAATGTGGAAAATTTTTAGTTTATTCTTTAAACATTTGTCTTGCTAACGCATGCTTTTTGAAAAATCTAACTACTAAACAAAGGTTTCTCAGTGACTTAAAAATCATCAATATTTTTTTTTTGTCTTGTAATTTATGAAATGTAATATTTTTGGATATTTATCTTTTTACGATGATTGAGAGGAATTTTTAAAGTTATGGCATTAACTTTCATTCGATACATTTTGTGTTCTTTTAACGTATCGTCGGGCAATATTGGTCTACTAAGAGCAGAGTAATCGTATGTATGAACACAAAAAAAAAAAAAAAAACACGACAGAGCAAAAGCAAAAGCTTCTCAACTGCGCATCAAAGCACGTATAATATCCTATTAACCAATATTTAATTATGTTAGTACTAAATATTGCAGCTAAGTTATAGTAACTTTACGTAATTATTATTTATAACTTATTTGCTCAAATTTTCAGAGACTGTACGATCTAGTGAGTAGTTATGTTTATTATTATTGTGTTTACTTTGCTCCTTTTAGCTGCTCTAGACCTGATGCCTACGAGACTCGTGCACTTTTGATGCTATATGCCCATCGTGTCATCTTTACGGGTAGGCTACTGATTTCGTTAGGATTACTTAGTATTGTATGTTTCACGGCACGACAATACACACACACACAATTTGCAGTAGGCCGTTAAAGGTATAGAAATAAAAATACAGACTTCCTGAAAAATCGCACTGTATCATCATAGATAAATCTCCGGTGTCCCAAACCGGACTCCCCTAAATTCGTTCTCGTACTCTGTTATATACTTAAAACTAGGTGAAGGTATTTTGGTATATTTATATTTATTTAAAAATTCTTAAACGTAAAGGAAGTTAATTTTGTTAGTATTTGTGTTTTAAATAACATTCTGTAAGAATTCGCTATTTGATATCTGTATATACTTCACCAATTATTAACATTAATATTGACCACATAAATTTCATTAGGATATGTATATTTGTGAATGAATTATAACGATTTTTAAATATTAGCAAAAATAGTCGTTAAAAAAAAAAAATGATTAAATATCTTATTTGTAGTAGTATAAATTTCTGAAATTAAGGATTAGAATAATGAGAATCATCATAGAACTCTAACAATGATTAACATCACTATTATAAATATTATATTTGAAAAACCATTTCTAAAAAAAGAGTTTTGTAAAACGATTAATATAAATTTTCTGAACTTTGAGATGTTTAACAAAACGTTTACGACCATTTGTACATAAAAGACAAAACAAAGTCAATTATATTTTTCTAAATTAAGTTGGGTAGAGTGAATTGGGATAATTGTTAATGTATTTATTTAGATAAATATATAAAAATTTTTATTTCGAATTTACATTCAACATATATAAGAACCATAACTATACAATCTAATATAAACTCAAATAAAATTTCAAGAGAAAATTTGAATTTAGAATTACCCATATCATTTATATTTAACCCTCTTTACTCTATATTATATACTTATTTTAACTTACATTTGATGTTGCCTAGTTTTGCTCATTTTAAAAAATTGAGTTGAAAAAAAAAATTCAAGTTTTTGAAAGGGGTTTCAAACTCTTCCTGTACTTAGGTTTATTATCAAGTTTTCATGAAAAGTATTCATTTAAGAAGCTGTGATCTTAAAATATTGCCCACTTAAAATTATACCGTTCTATTAATTACCCCCAGCAATCTATAAATATGGGTCTAATTATAAGTATAATATACTTTTTATTATAGATTATCGTAACAATTAAATTTTAATTTTTTGATATGTTTCAGCTTGTTATGCATGTCAAGAATTATTTTACAAAAATAGTAAAGAAATAAATTTGACGAATTGTTGTAAGAACACTGTATGTGATAATTGTTTTCATAAAAAATATTCTCAGTATATCGTAAGAATTCAAAAACAGTGTCCATGTTATAAGGAGTGTAGTAGTAGTGGTAATTATATTTCAAATATAATATTACTTAAGTTTAAGTGTTTAGGAGATTGTTTGATAAAACTAAATTATAATAGAGTAAAAAATTTGTCTTAATTTTTTCAAATAAATAATATAATATATACAGGGTGATTTTTTTATCATAACCCACTCAATTACTTGCAGAATAATAATAATTTAAACATTTTTTTTTTTCATTATCTTTAGTTACATATTATTTTTGAATTTTTAACTATGTAATACTTTTTTAGTTCATCCCTTATGCCTTGGAAGGGGGTCAACTTTGTTTTTTTAAATGGTAACACATATTTTTAATTTAATAAAATGTTTGAGTTTTTAATTTAATAGTAAATGGCATTTGAATTTTTAATATAACTTAATTCGTTTATTAGATATAATCATTTAAAGTTTCAAATTTTTGAGTTAATATATAGGTATAATACACAAGGAATTACAAATACAGGTAGCTAATTGATTTTTTATGACATCGATATTAGCAGGTACACAGCATTGTTATTATCAATGATAGTAAAGCACATTGTTATGAGTTTATAAATACACTAACTGACAATACAGAAAATATATCTATTGATAACCATAATTGATAATAAACAATCCATGACTGAGACAGCAATGTCATAAAAATCCAATTAACTACCTGTATTTAGAATCCCATGTATATTATACATGTATATTAACTCAAAATTTTGAAACTTTAAATGTTTATATCTAATAAGCTAATAAAGTTATATTAAAAATTCAAATGCCATTTACTATTAAATTAAAAACTCAAACATTTTATTAAATTAAAAATATGTGTTACCATTTAAAAAATCAAAGTTGACCCCCCTCCAAGGCATAAGTGATGAACTTAAAAAGGTTTACATAGTTAGAAATTCAAGAATACTGTGTAACTAAAGATAATAAAAAAAAAAAATGTTTAAATTATTATTATTCTGTAAGTAATTGAGTGGGTTATGATAAAAAAATCACCCTGTATACATATTTTTTTAAAATAAAAATTAGTATTTATTTACATAAACAGTGCAGTATCAATCTTTACATATTACAAGAATAAAATACATAATTTATCTATCTTCTTTAAGCTGACGCTTGTGGTGAAGATAGAGAGTTGAATTAAAAAATTTAGAAATTTTACACTTTTACATTTTAAAATTAAAAATTAAAATAGAGATTTAAAAAAAATATGAATATGTTATAATATATTAAATAGAGGTATTCATTTTTACATTTATCAAATTAAAATTAAATATTATAATAATTTAGAGACAAAGCTTTGAAAAAATTTATTTCGATTGTTATTTATAGTTTTAAATATATATTTTGTAGCTAACCTATCTTTCTATTTTTGAATTCATTAAAAAATGTTTGGAAAAAAGTAGCAGAAAATATAATTTCTATAATTAATATGATTAATTAATTGAATAAATTTATAATTTTCAGATGCCGTAAATATTAACGAAAATTCTAAAAATATCGTTGACAACAACGTTAGCAAAGACACTATAAAATGTTTAGACAAAGAATGTCGAATTTGCTTTGGGCATTCAAAAAATTGAAAATACAGTATTTCTCTATTTGTCCACGTATTATTTGTAAAGATTGCTCCAAAATAATGAAAAATACCAATAATATCAACACCCATTTGTAAGACATAATGTTACATAAAGAAAAAAATGGATACAATGCTTTTCTGAAGATGCGTTGACATATTTTGTAATGACTCTGTATAATATCGTTATCTAAACATAATTTTGAAATTTATTAGGCAAATTTTAATTAAAAAATATGTATTAATATCTCAATTTTCTGTCAATTATAATTTTAATTGTCTTATTAATAATAGTAATTTGTATTCTCAGTTTTATTTTACTTCCTCATTATTTTGAAAGAGAAATCATCTTCCCATAAAACTACAATAATTACACAAGATGAATATATTAATACAGAAAATAAAAGTAAAAGAATTATTACAAGACACTCCTGAAGTACAATAATAGTTATATAAGTTGTAAATAGTTCGTATTCTTAAAAAAATAAACAGAAAACCATAATAAAAATATGTAAAAATTTTGTACCTCAAAATATAAAAAAAAAATATTGTTAATTTAGAATTAGCTTTAATTAATTCTTTTTAAATGTACTAAACTTAAAAAAATATGTCTATTTAAACATTTTAAACATTTAATCATGTAAATATATTTTTAATTAGCTTATAACGTATTTTAAGGGACTTTATAATTTTATACAAGCAATAAAATCAATCAACTAGGGAAAAGTTTATAGTGAGCCAAAAGTAAGGTTTTGGTTGTGATATAATATAATAAATAAAATTGGGTATGTTGATTAATTACTTTGAATTTTTGAGCACTTGAATAAAATCACTCATCTTACTTTTGGTTACTATAATTCAGTTTACTTAATGTTATTGGGGTCGTGGAGTCCGAGGGTTTTAGAGAATGACAATACAATTTAATAAAAGGGTTATGATAAATATTGAGATCTAATGTGTGTATCAAATTTTATAAACTTTGGTGAATCATTTGAATAGTCTCACGTTTCAAAGAGCACGAGCTTATGTCGGCAACTATGAAGCGTAATAAGAAAATGCGTAGGTACGATCTTTGGTCAAGCACTTCGAACGCATTTAATAATTCTTTTGACAAACCAGTCAATAAATTTGGTATGTGTATTAAACTTATAAAACTTAGTAAATCAATTGAATAGTCTCACGTTTCAAAGAGCACGAGCTTATGTCGGCAACTATGAAACGTAATAAGAAAATGCGTAGGTACGATCTTTGGTCAAGCACTTCGAACGCATTTAATAATTCTCATGAAAAACCAGTTAATAAATTTAGTATGTGTAAAGATAAATTAATTACTATTGTTTTGTCATTTTCTTCTCGGATTAAATAAATTCCAAGTTATTGGAATTAAAATGTATCACCTACTTTATGTTTGTGCGGAATTGAAATGAATAAGACTGACAAGTTTTTTCTTTCTGAATATTTGAGAGACTGGTGGTCTATTGCTTCATTTGACTCTAGGCTTGAGAAGTGGAATGTTCGTATTTTATAGCTTTTTACGGCTTTTTATATGAAATCTATGATCTATATATGTCACTAAAATGTAGGAATTGACCACCAGAGCTCTCATCTTTATTGAAACGAAAATTATAAGCAGGGATAATATATTGTATTGGTTGTGGTACATTTGATTTTTGTTAGGGATACTGTTACTTAATACATTGTCTTTGTAGATTAATTTACAGTGTTTACATTTATGATACAGATATTAATTTTAAACTGAACAAGTACAAACATTGTATTAATTACATTAGTGATTATGCTATGATATCAATTTAAGATAATTATTTGTTTTATGATAAACATTGCGAATAATATTAAATTTGAGCGATGAACGGTATCACAACAACTTATAAATATGTAAAAAATATAATAATCATAATATTCAATAATATGTTAATAAAAATGGTAGCACAGTGCGGTCGAGGCACAGTGTAGATAAGGCATAGATGGGACAAGTATAGATGATATTTGACAGTGATTAAAATCACTATCATAAGAAACGCTTCGATGCAAATCTGTAGATAGTGTTTCATTTAGAGAAATTGGTGGATTATTCCAAAAGCAACATCAACTCTTATTTCTTTGATTATATCCTAATTAGTAATTGTTTGATTTTAAAATATAATATATGAATAAATACTAATTATAATTATAAAATTTAGTATGAAAATAAAAAAAAATTTAATAATTTCTTATGTCTTATGAACTTTATTCTATGTTAATTAAATTATATAATATTCATGAAAGTCAATATATTCTCCTAATAAGATATTTTAAAATAAAATAAAATATAAAACCTAGAATTTTAGTAGAAAAATAGCATATTTTTGAATACGGTAGCCATTTGCACATAGTAGATAGGTTGTCGGGACAAATTTTTTTTTTCATTTTGTAGTACATAAAATAAGCTTTAATTTGATGTATGTTTAAAGGACGCAGTATTTCCAAAACATTTTCAAAAATTAAGTTAAAAAAGTTATTTTTTGTAAAAAAGTTACTATTTTAAATCCCCCCAGTGAACAGAGTAAGTGTTAGATTTTCAAAAAAATGATATCAAATGAAAGGAAAATATCTAAAGTTTTAGTATAAAAAAAAATATGTTGATTTGTGAAAAATTTATGGAAGTTTTAAGAAAAAAAAGTGAAAAAAATGACAAAATTTACATATTTTTAAATTTGTAATTTTTTTGGATATTTCCCCCATTTGCGGGGAACGAGGGAAAATTTTTCAATTTTTAAGGGTAATGTCTTTTACTAGATACGATTTGTGATCTTTTGACGTATTGTTGAAAGAAATCAGTCCAGTGAGAGCTGAGAAAAAGTAGTGACAGACACAAAAAAAAAAAAAAATAAATAAACCCATCATGGTAAAATTAATACCTTCTCAGCTTTGCATCGAAGCTAATACGTGTATTGATGTCACTTCATAAACTAAATTTAATTTCTAACATTATGTATTTTTTTTTTTATTATATATATAAATTTCTCTATTTATTACAGTTGTGATATTAAATAATATTTTCTGATACATTTACATAATGTTAAAAAGCAAAATATTATAATATTATTGTTACAATCATATATTTTATTTAAGTAATTATTTATGTATTAAAAAAAAAAAATCAAAACTTCAATTTCATTACTCAAATTTTTTTTAATAACACGTTTAATTTTTAGGTGTTTTATTTATTTCAATCCTTTGTCATCATTCCTATTTATTATACTTATAAAAACAAACATTTTTTTTTTCATATTTATCCATTGTATCACTATTAAACTCATAACATTTATATCATTCACTATACTTAAAAAATTACAAATTTAAAAATTGCTAATTTTTTCAATTTTTTTTACTTTAAACTGTTATAACTTTTTCAAAAATGAACAAACCAACATAATTCTTTTTATAGATGTATGATGTCTTTACCTATCATTTAATATATTTTTTTTATAAATTTGACCCTTTTCCTGCTACAAATTAACTTTTTCAACTTAAATTTTGAAAGTGTTTCGGAAATACTGTCACTTTTATATATTTCTTAAATTAAAGCTTATGTAATATACTTCATTATGGAAAAAAAAAAAATCAGACTTTATTTTATTTTTACGGTGAAAACGAACATCAAAAATATGATTTTTGTAAAAAAATTCTTTTATATAATTTTAACTATATGTAACTAACCCGTAGAGTATTGCCAGACGTTCCATTCAAACAGTTTTATTTTAGTGAAATATTATATTCAGAAGAATATGCAGAATCAATAGAATATATTAGTATCACATAGATAAGGTTAGTTTTAAATATAAATTTTGGCATTCATTCAAAACCCTTTCTAGAATTGATTCAATACGTTTATAATAAAATAATTTTACAAAATTTAGACGAAACTTAACTTGATGGTGTTTGTAAATACATTACCAGAAGTTATTACATCTCTAGAACAAATTAAAGAGTTCGTATTTCCTTTTATTTTTAGGTAACTCAGAATACATGATTTACAAAATATGGATTTGCAATGTTTATAATTATCAGTTTTATTATAAATAGCCTTGAAACAACAACAGCACTCTAAAAAATTAATCAAAAAATTAATAATAATAAAATTACAAAGAAAATAAGAGAATGGAAGTTAACATTTTTTAAATTTATTCAATCCAAGAGCTAGAGAACAGTTTGATATTAGCTTATTTTAATGTTTTACAACTCTAATTTGTCCAAATTTTTATCATTCGAATTTTACTTTCGATGCGAAGCTGAGAAGGTATTAATTTTACTATGATGAGTTTTTTTTTAATTTTTTTTTTTGTGTGTCTGTAAACGCTCAATCTCAGCTCTCGCTAGACTGATTTTGATGAACAATACGTCAAAAGATCACAAATTGTATCTAATCAATAAACATTACCCTCAAAAATTGAATGAAATTCCTTCATTCCCCATAAACGGGGTAAAAATCCATTAAAAAATTACAAATTTAAAAATTGCTAATTTTCAACTTTATTACTTAAAACTGCCATAACTTTTTAAAAATTGACCGAATCAATATAATTTTTTTTTATAGATACCTTAGGTATTGATATATCATTTAATATATTTTGTGAACATTTGACCCTTTACCTGCCCACAGGGAGGATTCAAAATAACAACTTTTTCACAAAAAACATTTTAAAGTGTTCCGGAAAGACTGACACTTTTATATATACCTTAAATTAAAGCTTTTGTAATATTCATCAAATGCATTTGATGCATGTATTCATGCATCAAAAAAAATAAATAAAGAAAACTACATTTCCAAACATTTCTATTATAATTTGTTTGTTTTTAAAAATGTGTGAATTTATTATATGCTTACTTTAATTAACACATCAAAAAATCATAAATATTTTTGTTATGATCATATTTATACAATGAATTGTAATAAATTATAAACTATTTTATATTTAATTATTTATTTATATAGTTTATTTCAAATGCGCTCCCTTTTTTGTCAACTTAAAATGTATTTATAATGTAAGAACATTGATTACTATGTTCTTACCACTTATATTACACACGTTTTATTTCTATTTATTTAATTCGTAATACATATTAATTAGCATAGAGGGAGATGCTGATGTGACAATTCTACTCGTCTGTAGTCCGGAGCTACTGACGTCGAACTAACAAAGGGCAGTTGTGTTTGAGTGGCCGTTATAGACATAGTTTTCAATATTATTACTTTCATCTTATTTATATTATTTATAACTTAACTTGTTTTATTCAACGACCCGTCTATCGCCAATTGTCATCATAGCCAACAAACTCCGTCTCACTTGGATATCCCTACTAACCAATTCAATTATGAAAAATTGTAATCAATATTACAAGTAAAATCAAGATTTGGCACTGGTAAAATGACCAAATTAATTTGTATATTTTTTAGTGGACTGTATATAGGGTAAATTTGATAGACAACAGTTAGATAGAAAATTAACTAAAGACAAACTACTTTATTTCTAAGAATAACAATTTTCAAAAATGTAATGACAATACTAAAAAAAACATG